TGTTCTACTGAACGAAAACGCGAAACGTCAGAACGTTCACCGTTAGTAAAACCACTCCTTTTTTCCGCGAGGAACAGTATACTGGCGCGAAGGGGGGAAAAAGCGATGGATTCTACGAAACGCAGGCTCTTGTCCAGGTTAGAAAATTGATCTTCGATCGTTGGACATTAATAGTCAGGGAATAGAAGCCTTGGCGGGGATCGTAAAAATGTAATTGCGCCGATTGCAACAACGTTATTCGGGCACCGGCGCGGATAATGATACGTGAATGGGCGAGTTACGGGCACTCGAGACTCACTCAGCCATCTCTCGCGTTTCTGCACAGGTACCATTCTACGTGTGCACACACGTGTGCCTGCATTAAGGCACAAAGTGCATCTTGCGCAAACCACCATTACTGGGTATTGACGGCAACCGTTTACAGGATAACCGATTATTACTCCGCGCTTTCATATTTTAATTCAATTTGCATAATTACAGACGATAAAATCTGCAGTAATTATTCAGTATATGGAATATAAAAAAATTGCACTGCTCGTTGCAACGACGAAATGATCGAAGAAATTTTTTATATGAAATGCATTTCTAATTGTACGGAGATTAATTAAACTTTCCTGCGGTTATATCGAAACTTGGATACTTCCGACGAGGCTCGATGAACGGAGAAGTGGTATAGGATTTTTCGTTAGCCGTATCGAGGAGTTGGTTAATCAAACAGCGTACAAAATGAAATTAAACTGGTCTTTTGGTTCCACGAAGGCTGAGGTAAGGAGAAGTCGACGACCGGGCCCGATCCGGAGGAGAGAAAAGGCGCGAGTAAAGTTGAAGAGTCAACAAAAAGGTTCCGTGGCGCGTCTCGGAGTTGTCGATGTTTGCACGAGTTCGACGGAGAAACCCGTTTCGCCTTTTTCCACCGCGCCTTCCGAGCATGCATCTCTCCGCGAGAGTCCATCGAGGTTACAGTTTACTTAGGACCGCGCGATACACAACGTGGCTCAAATTAAATATTCCGAAGAGAGACGGAGGGATCCGAAGATACGGACGATCTCCCTTTTCCGACTCGCGCCACGCATCGCTGATAAAATAATATGGGTCCGATCGATTGGTTCACGAAAACTGTCCGAAAAGAATTCGGAATTTCGCCAACAAATAGCGAGGCGCTATGGTGAGGGAACGTCGTCGTAGCGTAGGAAACGTAGAATAGGCTTTGTGAAAACTCGTGAGCGTGAAATCGGCTTAACCCGGGGTGGAAGGGAATCGGTAGGCTCGTGCCAGGCCCATTACCTGCATGGGGTCTCTTTTCCAGCTAACACAAGAGGACCCTACGACCACCTTGGTGGCAGTAGCCACCTTATAAGTCTTGCCTAATGGTCACCTCGTACCTTCCCGAGTCACAGGACAGGGTGTGATAGCCAATTGGGTGCTAATCTTAGAAAGTCCCACTTGACTCGCACACACCAAACAAAACCCGACGGTTTCCCTTTTTCAAAATCCGATCTCGCATTGTTCTGGGTGATTTTTTCTACAAGGGATTGAAAGAACGATCGGAACGCAATTCTCAATGTAAATCGAATTATTAAAAGCCAGTTTCTGGATTATTCGACTAACCTCTAATGAAAATTACATAATTCGCAGAAGGATTCATAGAATATTCAATGTTAAAGAACAATAATTTAGCAAAGAGAGGTAATTTATGAGAGGAGGTTCATCGACTTGTCAAAATATCAGAATTTTATTCCACCTCCTCGATAAGCAATTCACGATAAGCAGAGAATGCGTTCAAGGTTTATAATACGTATAATTAAGGGAAAGACTCCACAATTACATATGCACCTCCTACCTTTATCGATTGATTAGTCGACTAATCGATGGAGCGAGGTTACCAGATAAATTCAATCGAGCTCGATGCTTGTTCAGGGAATCTTACAATCGAGGTGCACATTATGTGACATTAACCTTGATGAAACTACTTTAAATTTGTTGACGATTACGGGCACGTGTACGGCAAAGTACCGCAATTATTTTATCAGTTATTACTTATAATAACAGAATGCATTATTTTAATAATGGACGTAGATTGGGCATTATAATGTATTCGATCCAACGGTCAATGACGATCGTTAAAAACAGCTATTGCGTTTCGAAAAAAAGTTTCAGTAACCCTACAATCATATGGTATCAGAAACAACCTAAAGACATTAACGCGTATCTATTATTCAGACAGCCCGCCTGTTTTCCCACGGTAATGTGTCAAATTCAATGCCAGTGCTCACTCGAACGCAAAAGCGCGATATCGAACGTTTATCGCATGCAAATTTTGACTAAATAGAGGCACTAAACCGTCATTAAAGAAATGGCCACAGTTGCAAATAGATAATTGGAAAAATTGAAATTGGCGGTAGCACGTCAAATCCGATGTCACTTTCACTTGAAAAACGTGGAACCGAGACGAAGCGAAAAATCTACCACATGGAAATTTTGATTAAACGGTAAATGCTTAAGGATGTATTTTGGCTATACAGTCAATCCCAAAAGTTTATGCACTTTAGAAACGCATTTTTTTAAAAGAAATCAGACGTCGGAAGAACATTGCTAATAA